GGGAGGAGGAGGGAGGAGGAGGAGGAGGAGGAGGAGGAGGGCCAAGGCCCTGTCAGAAGGCCCGTAGAGTTCGGCAGGCAAGGCGAGCCGCGTGCGGCCTCTGCTCGCCGGCGGCCTCGAGGCGAGGGCGGCGGCGCGCGAGCGTGGCGCGGCCGCTCCGCGGGAGCGGGGGCCTTCGAGGGTTGGGGACGTCTGCGCCGTCAGGCCTCCGGGGAGCCGATCCTGCAGGACAGGAGGAGGGAATTAAAGGAGGAGAGGATGGGAGGAGGAGGGAGGAGGAAGGAGGAGAGGAGCTCAAGAGACACACGGTGAATGACGCTGACCGAAGCGAGGAGGAGACACGATCAGGGAGGAGGGAGTGTGTTAAACCACCAAGTGTAGCGACAATCACCGCAAGCCCGAGCGCTAGCGAGTCTACGGAAGGAGGGAGGAGGGAGGAGGGAGGAGTGGAGGAGGGAGAGGGAAGAGTTAGGAAGGTAGGAGGGAGGAAGGGAGGAGGGAGGAGTGGAGGAGGGAGGAGGGAGGAGGGAGGAGGAGGAGGGAAGGAGGAGGAGGGAGGAGGGAGGAGTGAAGGAGGGAGGAGGTGAGGAGGGAGGAGGGAGGAGGGAGGAGGGGAGGAGGGAGGCAGGGAGGAAGGGAGCGCGGAGGAGGGGAAGGAGGGAGGAGTGAGGAGGGAGGAGGAGGAGGAGAGGGAGGAGGTCAGGAAGGGGGAGTAGGGAGGGATGGAGGAGGGAGGAGGGAGGAGGGATGAGGAGGAGGAAAGGATAATGGAGAGGCGGAGGCGGAGGCGGAGGAGGAGGAGGAGGAGGCGGAGGAGGAGAAGCAGGAGCAGGAACAGGAGGAGCAGGAGCAGGAGGAGCAGGAGCAGGCGCAGGAGCAGGAGCAGGAGCAGGAGCAGGAGCAGGAGCAGGAGCAGGAGCAGGAGCAGGAGCAGGAGCAGGAGCAGGAGCAGGAGCAGGAGCAGGAGCAGGAGCAGGAGCAGGAGCAGGAGCAGGAGCAGGAGCAGGAGCAGGAGCTGCTGCTGCTGCTGCTGCTGCTGCTGCTGCTGCTGCTATCTGCATCGATGCCCATATCGCTTAGCAAGAGCTGTCTACTTGTGGGCACCGCAGAGCCTGGGATTGTGTATTTACCGGGGGGCCTGGGACTCCAACATGGGAACGCAAGGCCTGATGCGGCTGCTCGGGGCGCGCGCGACGCCAGCAGTGGCACCACGGCACGGGAGTGCTTGACAGCTCTACCGTCGAGCTAAGGCTCTAAGTCTGACTCTGGTTCCGAGATACTCCAGCCTGTCCTCCCAGGCCCTGGTGCCGAGCGAGCGGAGGTAGGAGAGCGAGGGGACCTCAGAGGCGAGAGGGGGAGGAGTGGGAGAGGGGTACTGCACAACCTGACTGCCTACTCCTCCTCCTCCACCAGTGCTCCGTTCGCCTGCGGCTCTCGCGTCGCCCTCGGTCCGAACCCGAACCCTCCCGCGGGTTGCCTTCCCTGGGAGCTTCTGAGTGCCCATCACTCGCAGACACAGCGTGACGAGCCTGTTGATGCTCACCCTCGTCTTGCCTCCTCTCGTGTTCAGCTCGAGCGGGGGAACTTCAGCTGCGCCAGCTCCGATTCCTCCCGACTCTAGTTGGCCGCCACGGGCCAGCTCCCCGCCGTTGCTCGATTTCTTCGGGAGTGGAGCCTGCCGGTCGCCCTCTGTCTGCTGCGCTGCATCGAGCCGCGCCGACATCCGACTGGATGGCGTGCTGCTGAATCTGATGCACCACGTGTGCCCGAGCAAGGTGTGAGTCCAGCTGATCTGGTGTATGAGCAACAGACAGGCACAACGGACACAGTTTATGTGTGTGTGTGTATGTGTGTGTGCGTGTGTGTGTGTGTGTGTGTGTGTGTGCGTGTGTGTGTGTGTGGGGCTGCGGTGGGATGAGCTCTTACGCTAAAGCCAGAGAGCCGCCGTGTGTGCCTGACCGCTGCTGCCAGGTGCCACTGGGCTGTGGCTCGATCCGCAACATGGCTATAGCATAAAACTCAACAATTCGACAGTGTTGCTACATCGGCGCTCCCAAAGTGTATTCCGATTTGAGAGGCACGGCGCCGCGCGAATGCAGCGCAAACGCAATGCTGGAAAGGCGCGACAATGCATGCCCCCTGGACACGCGAGAGCAACTGCGCCCCCGCGCGAACCCTGATCCCGCGCGGGGCGCGTGCCCGTTGACAATGGCTCACCCGGGACACAGTTTCTTGCGCAGGCAGTCCTGAGCGGCCTGCCCATCGGCGGCTCCTTAGGACGAGGCCCGGAATTACCGAGAAACCGTTTTTGATTGGAAGTTCTAAACGGTTTGCCCATGCTCGGTTTCTTCGGAGCGGGCCCAGAGACCTCGAGAACGATGTTTTTGCAAGGAGTCCTAGGCGGTTTGCACATTTTCGGGTCGTTCGAACCGGACCCGAATATCTGTTTGGGCACAAGTCCTATGGGTTTTGGCCACTTTGAGGTCGGCCGATAAACTTTTCGGGTCGGCGCGTGACCGAAGCCGAAAGTTTCCTTCGAGGAAGTCCTATGCCGTTTGTTCATTTTCGGGTCAGCACACCGGTTGGGATTTAAGTTTTAAGCTGGGAAGGGGAACCCGATCCCGCGACCCCGGGCGGGGGTTGGGCTCTGCCCTTGCATTGTACTGGGCCCCTCCGGCCAAACGGGGCGCTGGGCTGCCCATCGGCGCGCCGACTGCCCTCGCGACATCGCCTTCGGGCCCCGCGAGTCTTGTCCCGCGAGCGCCACCCCAGATGGCCGCGGCCGGCACGGTGGCGAAATTGGGGAAACTTTCGGATTTGCGCAGTATATGCGGGATTCTGTCAGCGGCACAAACCTTTCAGGTCATCCCCGTCGTGCCGCTACGCCCTTTGGCGCAACCCTTGACACAAATGCCACCATGTCTTTTGATTCCTGAAGCTCTTCGTCAAATACAGGGCAGACGATTCCTGGCACTCCTAGCACGATACCTTCTGGTGTGGGAGGATTGGGGAACCCCTCCTCAACAGCTGAGCCCTGGCCAGGAGGAGGACTGGACCGTGCTAGTTCTCTCGACCGAAGTTCTGCCACATCAACTCTTAAAAAGGAGTCCCTGGCGTCCCCTTGAAAAAAGACGTTAAACAAAAACGGCCGTTTGATTCAGCTAGTAGGTCTGGCCCATCAGAGGTCCCCTCGAGTGCTTGGAGGTCTTGCCAAACTTGCTGAAACCATGCATTTGTTGTTTGTAAGACTATTCCGTGCTCGTGTACATCTAACTGCTGCTGCTCACATCTTGTTTGTCCCATTCGTGCTGCTATAGCTTGCTCATGGAGGAGGATGAGGACGTGGAGGGGTAGGAGGTATATGGGGGGGAGGAAAGGGAGGATGAGGATGAAAAGGACCAGTGTAAACCCAAGAATCATAACGATGTTGGAATAACTCCTCCCTCCAAGCTACCTCTTCATAAGCTCTACAACGGTTCTTTTTCTTGGAGGGAACTGCCTCGTTGGAAGATGACCGTTTGAAGACCCTGAAGCATGCCAAAATATTGTTCTCGGGATTCCAACGCCACGGAGTAACCTGACCATTGCGTCTTGACGATCCTGAATCGTGCTAGAACGCCGTTCCTGGGACTTGCCCAAAGCGAATCAACGTAACTGTTGCGCCCGCATAATCCTGAACCCTTCCAAAAAAAAAAACACCATGTCTGATACGTTGATGATGTGAATCCATGAAGCCCTGGCATATGTCATAAGCGAGTGTGCGCGGCGCGAAGGCGAAAACCACATTTTGAAAATAAGCCGCCCTCGATCCGTGGAGCTCTTGCACATGTTTACAACGAGTGTCCGCGGCGATAGGCCGAGAGCCACATTGTGAAAATAAGCCGCCCTCAATTTGTGAAACTCTTGCAAACTTTCAAAAACGACTGTGCGCGGCGCTAAGGCGAGCGCCACATTTTGAAAAGGAGCGGCCCTCCATCTGTGAAGCTGTTGCCAATGTTTAAGCCTCACAGTCGTAAATGGTGAGGAAGTCTCAGGCGAAACGCCCGACCCGCCCTAAAATTGGCCTCGGGGTGCGACAAGGAGAAGTTATACGGAACAAGAATGGAGGAGGAGGAGGAGGAGGAGGAGGAGGAGGAGGAGGAGGAGGAGGAGGACGAGGAGGAGGACGAGGAGTGGGAGGGGGAGGAGGAGGAGGAGGAGGAGAGGAGGAGGAGGAGGAGGAGGAGGAGGAGGAGGAGGGAGGAGGAGGAGGAGGAAGAGGAGGAGGAGGAGGGGGAGGGGAAGGCTTTCGGGGGGGCCCTCGTCGCAACGGTTCGACGCATCTCGGGAAGTGGTCCGTTTGAACCCTGAGTGTCAGGAAGCCATTGAATGTGGAGAGCATTCGGGCCTCCTGAGATCCAGAGATGTCCACATCTGCTGCTTCCTAGGGTCCATGGGGATGGGTGATTGGTCCCCACAGGTTGGTGGGTATGTACAAGTCGCGACCTCACCACTTAGGATGGGAGGCCTCCCCCTCCTTCTCCTGCTCTTCGTTGTCTTAGTCGTCGTCAACTTCCTTGTGTTTCTGTGTCGTCGTCGTC